ACCACCAAGAGGTCAGAAATGGAGCTTTAGTGCAAGTAGTGTAGTGCAGTCTTGAGAAAAAAAACTAAGGGCCAATGCCCAGGTCCTGAATTTATGGCATATTCCCACCCCCCTCTCTCTCATTCTCTCTCTCTCTCTCTCTCTGTTTTTTTTTCTCTCTCTCTGTCACACAAACACACACACAAATTGATTTACCATTTTCACTTAGATACCAGAAAGGTATTCTACTAAAATTAGTCAGTAAATCAAGAAAGATGGAAAAGAGAAGGTAAATCCCAGTTAACAGCCAACAGAAGGCCCCGAGAGCATCTGGTCCACTGACACAGAAAAATGGAGGTTGGGGAATGAGAGCACAAATGAAAACAAGTAATTTGAATCATTCATGCATATAATTAGACATTGAATAGATTTGTAAGATCTTTATGACATTCAGAAAGAATCAATGATGGGTACACACAAAACACACAAATGAAAAAAAGCAAGACAATTGTTAGTAACAAGAAAAAAAAGTTTTCCAAGAAAGGAAATCTCACAAGATTATATGAATTTTGTTGATTCTCGGATGACCATTTACACATTTTTTTTTTTTTTTGCTGGTCCTGGGGTTTGAACTCAGGGCCTGAACACTGTTCCTGAGCCTCTTTGTGCTCATGGCTAGCTCTCTACCACTGGAGCCACAGCACTACTTCCAGCTTTTTCTGAGTAATTTATTGAAGGTAAGAGTCTCACAGACTTTCCTGCCCCAGTGGCTTTGAACTGTGATCCTCATATCTCAGCCTCTTAAGTAGCTAGGATTACAGGCATGAGTCACCACCACCCAGCTTTATTTGCACATGTTAATGAATCTGAAATCAGATAATGTACTATTGAAAACATCTTCCAGCCACTATTGATCCAACTATGGTCCTGTTGAAGTTGTCATGGTTGGGTCAGGTGTGATGTTAGTGGTTAATCCTATTGTTCTGAGTGGACCACAGCAACCCCTTGACCTTATAGTCATTGTAGCATCATATAAAGAAGGAACAAGAATTCTAGTTTGTCAGAACACCTTCTGTGGGAATATTCAGGTGAGATCAAAGTTCCTGTATCCAAAGTTGAAGAGTGGGGTTAGTAGCTTGGAAGAAAGTCCTAGAGACTAGAGTGGATCACTCTAAGAATCCTGCCTGCCAGGTTCTAGTAACTCAGACTTGTAATCCTACCTACTCAGTAGGCTGAGATCTCAGGATTACTGCTTGAAGCCAGCCTGGGCAGGAAAGTCTGTAAAACTCTTATCTTCAGTAAACTACTTTAAAAAAAAAGGAAATGGAACTGTGGATCAAGTCTAGAGCACTAGCTTTGAGCAAAAGAAACTCAAGGAAAAAAAAAAAAGAAGCTCAAGGATAGTGCCCAGGACCTGAGTTCAAACACCCCTCACCTGGCACAAAAATATGAAAAAAAGAAGAAAAATCCTGCCTGTCTGACACTTGGGAGATTAAAAAAGAGATATTCTAAATAAACCAGCAAACAAACATAAAGACAATAACAAAAGCTGGCACTGATGGCTCTGAATAGGAAAATGTTCCTGAGAAGATGAACACTTAATTTAAGGAAGGTTAATGATACTTAATTTTGTTTACCTTGTTAATTTACAAGAACTACCTGTGTGTCATAAAAATATGTCCAAATAAGAGCACTTTCAATAACTTTACATCAAAAACTTAGATAAAAAATTGACAGCATCTTTTCCTTCTTTGTGGCTCACATTACAACTTGATGGTAATTTACATTCAGTGAAATCTGGGGTATTAGCTTGTCGCAGTGAACAATTTTTGCATATTTACAATCATGTAGATACTGATGTTGACTTTAGTTAAAAATATGAGATTATTATAATGGGAGGATAGGAAAAAGGGAGACGCGAGTGTTCTTTAGACTGGTTGAATGAAGAGGCACATGGGGAAAATCTTCATCTCTCTGACAAGGAATCAGATGAGGTCTGAGATGGGCGCCTAGTTTTGGGACATTGGATTAAAGGAAACTGAAAAACAGCTAAAAGAGGTGGAAGTCGTTGTCCAAAGGAAAGGGGTTAGGTTATAAAAAGAATAGGTTTCTAGCTTTTTTGGTTTTGTTTTTTCATATATTTTGAAAAAACTGTGCATCATTACCATGACAAAAATAAGTTTTCAAATAAAATGACTCCCCAAAGCCCATTCTGTGCTGTTATCATTACAAACACCCATACTCTTTGGGGGGCCATATGGTGTTAATTGTTGTTCAGAGAATCTGTTCACTGTGACAAGCTGCAAGATGCTGCAGAAAGAGCTGTTCAGCGCTCATGTTAGTGGTCTGGGTTTGCCTCTAGGGTTGTTGCTTACTAGGTGAGTAACCCTGGGCAAATTGCTTAGTCTCTCTGGGTTTAGAATTCTTAACTTTATGTATTCATTCATGTGTGTATGCATGCATGCATGTGTGTGTGTGTGTGTGTGTGTGTGTGTGTAAGTGTGTATAGTACCAGTCCTGGGGCTTGAACTCAGGTTTAGGGCCCGGCCTGAGCTTTTTTTTTGCTCATGGCTGGCACTTTACCACTTGAGCTACATCTCTACTTCTGGCTTTTTAGTGGTTAATTGGAGATAACCAATTAACTAGGCTAGCCAATTAAAATAACCTGCTTGAGCTAGCTTAGAACCGAGATCCTCATATCTCAGCTACCTGAGTAGATGGGATTGGAGGCACGAGACACTGGTGCCCAGCAATAAACTTTATCTTCTATTATTAGTGTGTGTGTGTGTGTGGGCATGTGTGTGTGAGCCAGTGGTGTTCTGCTGATTCCTCATCTTTAAACAGAGAAAAAGGCTGTATGTTTTACTGGCTGTTTCAAGAATTAAAGAAAGAACTTGTCTCTGGTCCCTGGCACTATGCCAGTCTTATTGTTGCACTCAGTGCGACTTTTTTAGTGTGCAACATGCTGCTCCCATGGGATTCCTGTCCCTTCAGGAACAGCTGCCCTTCAACGTGTCCCTGTGCTCAGGGATCCCAAGGAGGCCAAGGGGTGAGAAAGGACAGAGTCATTGCTCTTTGTTGCCCCCAGAGGTTAGGAGGATTCTTAATAGATTCCCTCTCATGGGTATGACAGTATTCGGTCATTTCTGAGCAGTTCTTTTCTTTTCTTTTTTCTTTTTCTTTTTTTGTCACTCATGGGGCCTGAACTCTGGGCCTGGGCGCTGTCCCTCAGCTCTTCAGCTCAAGGCTAGCGCTCTACCACTTGAGCTACAGCACTACTTCTAGCTTTTCCTGCTTATGTGGTGCTAAGGAATCGAGCTCAGGGCCTCCTGCATGCAAGGCAAGCACTCTACCACTGAGATACCTTCCCAGTCCCATTTCTGAGCAGTTCTGAGTCATTTCCAATCAGATGAAACCTGATCTTCCTTTCTCTAAGGCTGAGAAGCAGGGCCTTGAGCGCCAAGCTAGCAGGGCAGGACGAACCTAGTCCACTCAAGGGAGGTCTGACCAAAGCTATCCTGCAGCTCCTGAACCCAGAGATAGCAGGGGCCAGCTTCCCTCTACCCTGTGCTGGCAGCATCTGCACAGCTGGGAGCAGCTTTGTTAGAAATTCAAAACAGGTGTGGCTGGGAGAACTGCTTGCTCCAGGCTTTGTCTCCAGAACAGGTTAAAGACTCATAGTTATGTATGTGACCCAGACATATAGAATGAGCCACAGCAGGGCTGTTGACATTGCTTAGATAAGACATTGCTTCTCTTCAGAGCTACTCAGAAGGTAAAGAGAGAATAGACTGAAGGGACAGGGAACCTGGATGGCAAACAGTCATCTCCTAATGTCCTGGGCACGGACAAGTTGCATCCCAAAAACTATACTGACAGCCTCAGATGCTACAGGGGAAGCAGAGATGCCATGGGAAGGGAAGTTATTGAGGAAAGGGAAGTCCTCACCCCCCCCCGGGGGCAGCAGAGTGAAGAATAAAATCATGTAGCCATTGCCCTGGCTCTCCCATGAACCATCTGCATGATGGCCACTCAAGCCTAGTTTCTTCAGAGATTAAGAGGAGGGGAGAAACAATACTTGGCAAGGTTGTAGTGGGAAAATTAAATTTCCCAAATTCGTTTCATTTTTCCTTTTGTGGCAGTATTTAGGTTTGAACTCAGGGCCTCACACTAGCTAGGCTGGTGAGATACCACTGAGCCATGCCCCTAGATGTGTTTTTACTGATTATTTTAGGATAAGGTCTCACTTCCTGAACAGGTATACACCTGAGCATCTGCCTACTTGAGGCTACCCATTGTCATGGGGTTCACAGGCCGGCACCATTGCATCCAGCTTCTCTATGGAGATGGAATGTCGAGGATTTTTCTGCTTAGGCTGGCCTAGAACCCTGATCCTCCCAATCTCATCCTCCTACCTACCTTGGAATGACAGACACATACCACTGTGGGGTCTTGAGATGGGGTCTTGTGCAGTTTTCTGACCATGCTGGTCTCCAACCACAATCATCTTGGTCTCAGACTCCCACATAACTATGATCACAGTCATGAACCACTGGCACCTGGCCTAAATCTCCTATTTCTAAGGTTTTAAAAAATATAGCCTTTAGAGACACCCTGCCCCACTGGGTACTCATATGAGGGACATCTGACTTTAATGTCAACACATTTCCTGGCCCCCACCAAAGGATCTGGGGTAGTATAAAAGGACTTTCTTGGCCACCTGCAGCTCTCTAGGGTAGCTGTGTGGCATGATGGAGCTTATAAGAGTGGGCACTCTGGGCCTCTGGCCCCAAGCAGAGATGCCAAAGCACTGGACTGAAAGAGCATGTTCTTGTTAAAAGTCTCTGGAGTGAGGGCATCCGGCAGGCCTTCCTGGTCCTCTGATGTAGTAAGCAGAAACCACACGCCGTAGTCTTCTGCTGCTACCTCTCAGCATCCCATCCACTCCAGAAGCCAACCACGTCCTGTCTTAGAGGGGAGTGTCAGGAAAAAGCCATGTGATGTCTGTGTTTCTCCCACAGGCCACAGAGTGGGCCTCCAATGAGGACACGCGTCGCTCGTGCCAGAGCAAAGGGAAGACTGAGGTATGTGTCCTTGCTGTCCTGGGGGTCCTGTTGCAGCTCGCACTAGGTTTGTGGGATAGAGGAGTGTGAAGTCACCTACCCCAGGGGCATGGCCTAGATGAGGGAGGAACAGAGACACCCCCACCACAGATCCGCAAAGGGGTGTTGTAGGACATTAGCATGGAGTTGTAGGGGACAGACTCCAGCACTTTACCTGCAGAGTCTCCCTCTTTCTTTCTTTCTCTGTTCTCTCCCACCCCTCTCTCTTTTCTTCCTCCTCAGGAAGAGTGTCAGAACTATGTGCGAGTGTTGATTGTCGCCGGCCGGAAGGTGTTTATGTGTGGCACCAATGCCTTTTCCCCAGTGTGCTCCAGCAGACAGGTGAGTGGGCAAAAGGGCAGGTAAGCTAGAGAGGACACAAGAGGAGTTCTCTTGCCTGTTGGAGTGGGACCGAAAAAAACAAAAACAAACAAAAACAAAAAGTATGACCAGTTAGGTCTGAATTCCAGGTGAACAATTAATGGTATCGTGTGTGTGTGTGTGTGTGTGTGTGTGTGTGTGTGTGTGTGTGTGTGTGTTGGTACTGGGGCTTCAACTAGGGGTCTCATGCTCCTGGTTGACTTTTTTGGTCAAGGTTGGCACTCTACTCTAAGCTATACTACCACTTCTGGTTTTTTGCTGGTTAATTAGGGATAAGAGTCACAGATTTTCCTTCCTGGGCTGGCTTCAAACCCTGATCCTCAGATCTGAGCCTTCTGAGTAGGAGTAGAAGCATGAGCCACCAGTGTCCAGCCAGTAAATGGTATCTTAATATAAGTGTGTCCATGAAATATTTGAGGCATACTTATTTTTTTAAAAAACAACAACACTATTTTCCATCTGGAATTGAGTTTGGGGGCCCTCTATATTTTATTAGTCTACTTTGAGGGTCCATCTGTTGGTACAGGACTTCTTCCTCCATGATGGCAATTCCCTTTGTGTGTGGGCAGTGGGGAGGATTCTGGGGGTGGGGGAAGGAGACTAGAGGAAACAACTCTGGGGTGAAAAAGGCATGGAAAAGCATTCCCTTCTCCCATCATGCACAGGTGGGGAACCTCAGCCGGACCATCGAGAAGATCAATGGTGTGGCTCGCTGTCCCTACGACCCGAGACACAACTCCACAGCTGTCATCTCCTCCCAAGGGGAGCTTTATGCAGCCACGGTCATTGACTTCTCAGGTCGGGACCCTGCCATCTATCGTAGCCTGGGCAGTGGGCCACCACTCCGCACTGCCCAGTATAATTCCAAGTGGCTCAATGGTAAGTTGGCACAGCCCGAGATGGTTCTCCCCTCCTTCTGACCCCCGCCAGTGTTCGTTCCTGCTCCATGTATGTATGGGGCTCAGGCTTGTTTAGTCATGAAAGAGGCCAAGGTAGGGCAGATGTCTGTTGAAAGACCGGAGCATGTTGGGTGGGCCCCAGATGAAATGACAGATGTCCAGGACATATGAAGGGCAGGATATTTGGGGAAAATGAGATAGAGATTGGTTAGAAAAAGTGGTTAGGGGAAAGAAATTAGGAGAGTGATATGAATGCTCTGCCTCTCCCTCCCTCCCCCTTTGGAGAATCCCCTACTCATCACTAACTAGCTCTGTGGCCTTGAGTAAGCACTTAAATCTCTCTGGGCTGTGATGTTCTCATCTGTAATGTGGTGTCAGGCCTAGTGCATACCTCATACATTGTAGTGAGAATTGAGTGGGGGTTCAAGTACTTATGATCATATCTGGTACACAGTGAGTAATGGGTATGAATTATTATTGCTGCACTTAGTAGTGGAGGCGGGAACAGGATTAAAGCCCCTGGGCTGCCAAGTTGGGGGCGGTAGGATGTACATTTGAGAACTGAATGAGTCAAATCCTCCTGACTGTCCTCTATTCTTCCCTGCTGGCCTGACACACACCTTGCTCCCCTTCTGCATCTCCATCTCAAGAGCCAAACTTTGTGGCAGCCTATGACATCGGGCTGTTTGCATACTTCTTCCTGCGGGAGAACGCGGTGGAGCATGACTGTGGGCGCACTGTGTACTCTCGGGTGGCCCGCGTGTGCAAGAATGATGTGGGAGGCCGCTTCCTGCTGGAGGACACATGGACCACTTTCATGAAGGCTCGACTCAACTGCTCCCGCCCTGGCGAGGTCCCTTTCTACTACAATGAGCTGCAGAGTGCCTTCCACCTGCCTGAGCAGGACCTCATCTATGGTGTCTTCACCACCAACGTGTGAGTCCAGGCCCTCTGTCATTCCTTTCCCTTTCCTGCCATGGCAGAGCTTATGCTAGCTTGACTTTGCAGCCTGGTGAGCCCTTGTTTCTTCATATCTGCATTGCTATGCCTCCTGTACTGGGGGCTTACCATTCTGGAATGGGTTATGGTTCTATTAATGGGAAGCAGCGTGCCTTGCATGAAGGGGTAGTGGCCCTGGAAGAGGCCCACAGCAGCACCTCTGAGAGGCTCGGGGATTCTCTGTAGTCCTGTCCCAACTCAGTACTTCATGGCTCCTGAATGAAGCCAGCAGGCTGTTCTGGCAAACCTGCCACCCCATCCCACTTGACTGCCCTGGAAAACACAGGCTGGGGATCTCCTTCCTGGAGATCTTACATTGAAGGGTAGGCCTGTTAGCGGGTGTCAGAGGAGGGAGTCGAACCCCAGGGAGAGCAGACACCCACCACCTTTTACCTTTCAGAAATAGCATTGCCGCTTCAGCTGTCTGCGCCTTCAACCTCAGTGCCATCTCCCAGGCTTTCAACGGCCCATTTCGTTACCAGGAGAATCCCAGGGCCACCTGGCTCCCCATCGCCAACCCCATCCCCAATTTCCAGGTATAGCTTCTCTTCCTCTGTCCCCAGCCACAAACGGATCCCCCACTGCTCAACACAGATGAATATCAGGCCTGGCCTGCTGCTCTCAGGCCTAATTTCTGGATCCTTGAGAGTGTGATAATCTCTCAGAGTATGAGTGAGAGGGGATAGTGGGCGAGAGAGCTAGTCCACCAGCTCTGAGCTATCTCTAGAAGGGCGGAGAGTTTGAACCTCAGTTCTATGAAGTTTAGGGAACCAGGGGAGCATTACATAAGCAAGTTCTGGCCAGAATTTAGGAGTTTTAGCCAAGGTTTTCTCACAGTGTGTCCAGCATGGGCATGAATGCCTAGAAGGTCTCTGGGTGCACTAGTAGTCTGGAGCTGTGAAAGGCTTTGCAGTCCAGCAATCCTGATCTACATCTAGCCTGACTTTGTGCGAATGTGGCAGGTCACCCAATCCCCTTGAATCTCTTTTTCCTTATCTGGAACTAAGGATAATACCATACAGATAATATTGCATACATACATATGAAGATTTATATGCTTAGAATGTCCTAGGTGCCCAATAAAAAAGTGATTGATTGCCTTACAGTTTTGGATTAGGAGACATAAAAACTTTGAGGTGGTAGAGATACAGGAGAGAGAAAACAGATTAGCCCAAGGTGATTATAGGCTCATGCCTATAATCCTAGCTACTCAGGAGGCTGAGATCTGAGGGTTGAGCTTCAAAGCCAGCCTGGGCAGGAATGTCCACGAGACTTTTATCTCCAGTTAACCAGGTGAAATTGGAGGTATGGCTCAAGTGATGAGTGCCAACATTGAGTGAAAAAGTCAAGTGGAAGCTGGAGACCCCAAATTCAAGCCCCAGTATCAGCACAAGACAAAGAAAGGAAGATGGAAAGAAAGAAAGAAAGAAAGAAAGAAAGAAAGAAAGAAAGAAAGAAAGAAAGAAAGAAAGAAAGAAAGAAAGAAAGAGGAAAAGAAGGAAGGAAGGAAGAAAAGGCAGAGGGAGAGGCAGGGAAGAAAAGAGGGAGGGAGAGAAGGATTGACTGATTACAGGGCACTGTTCACCCTCAACTGGAGATAGTCCAGACCTCTTCTCTTCTGCTTCTTCTTTCCCAGCCTTGGCAGGTCTCTGTTCCCCTGTCCCTCCTGTATATCCCACTTCCAAAGAAGGACCATCCTTTCCCAGGGAAAGGCTTCAGGGGTCCAGGCAGGGATGTTGGGGTAGGGGGGAAAGGGTGTTGTAGAGTTGGCATCCCCCCACCCCGTCCAGGCCAGCGGGTGGGAGGGGAGGGCAGCAGGTGCAGCGTGGTGGAAGTGGGCACATGGGAGGCGCTGGGTGACCCCGCTCCCCCGCCCGAGGCAGTGCGGCACCCTGCCCGAGACCGGCCCCAACGAGAACCTGACGGAGCGCAGCCTGCAGGATGCGCAGCGCCTGTTCCTGATGAGCGAGGCCGTGCAGCCGGTGACCCCCGAGCCGTGCGTCACGCAGGACAGCGTGCGCTTCTCACACCTGGTGGTGGACCTGGTGCAGGCCAAGGACACGCTCTACCACGTGCTCTACATCGGCACGGGTGAGCCCGCCCCGGCCCGCCCTGGGCTGCAGGTGGGGAGGCGATTGCCGGGTGGGGCAGAGCGGGGCTTCGAGATTCCACGGGTTCAAGACCACCTTCTGTGTGCCCCCCCTCCCCCGCCACTCCACCACCCCACCCCTAGAATCCGGCACTATCCTAAAGGCGCTGTCCACCGCCAGCCGCCACCTCCGCGGCTGCTACCTGGAGGAGCTGCACGTGCTGCCGCCCGCGCGCCGCGAGCCCCTGCGCAGCCTGCGCATCCTGCACAGCGCGCGTGCGCTCTTCGTGGGGCTCAGCGACGGCGTCCTGCGCGTCCCGCTGGAGAGGTGCGCCGCCTACCGCAGCCAGGGGTAAGCCACCCGGGCCGGCACCGAGGGCGTGGCCCGCCCGTGATTGGCAGCTGCGTCCTGCCAGTCACACCTGGAGGCGTGACGCAGCTTTGGAGTCAGGGCCATCGAGGTGGTATCCCTGCACAGCCTGCAGTTGCATGCCTTGGGACAAGTCATTTAACCTCTCGGAACCATGGGTTCCTCCTCGTCGAATGTCTTAACCTGCAGCACTTTACACGGCCCCGGTTGGGGGCATCGTGGTGGTGGCAATCCCGTGGTTCACGCCTGTCAGCCGTTTCTAGCTTATTTGATTGACTCTGCTCCCTGCGTTTAGGGAGAAGTCCTTGTCTTTGACACAGCAAGCCCTTGTTGCCCAGGTGTGCTTTGAGTCAGCTCTAAACTTTTGTCTCTTTTTAGAGGCAAAGAAATCTGGGTGGCAAAGCCACGTGGAGGAGGTGCACTGGCTTCACATTGCTTCTGAGATAAAGAATCCATACCACACGGTCAAATGGAGTCATCAGTTTGGCACCAGTGACACCAGTATTTAGGGGGCAGGGGAAGCAAAGCTGTCTTCCAGATTCCTAGCCCTTGAGGTTGCCCAGGCTGCATCCTGTCCTCATGATCATCAAAAGCTGGCACAGTCACAGCCACGCAGACTTCTGCAGTCTTTGCCACAGAGACTCCTGGCTGTGCCATCTGTCTGAGAGATCTGAGAGGCAAATGTTACCCACTCTGCCAAGGGTTGTTCTTTAGCCAGTGTGCTGGGAGCTGGGCAGGGAGGAGGGCTGGATGGAGGCTGCATGGAGGTAGTATGGCAGCTGAGGCAGGGCAGGGCAGAGGGCAAACACTTAAACATCCATCAGCCTGGACTCATGGTTCTGCCAATGAAACAATATTTACAAAGCCCTACTATGTTCAGGGCACTTTTGCAGGGTTGTTGATGTAAAAGGAGGCAAGATGAACAAGCCATAGAGCTTGGATGTCTGGTAACCTGTAGCTACCATGTGGAGAGAGACCAATATGTATAGTGGGAAGGATTCATGTACTGGAAGTAAGCATACCTTGGGATCCATCTCCATTCCATCATCCCCCCAGCTGTATTATCTTGAGCATATTACTTAACCTTTTTGAGCTTCAGTTCTCTTAACAGAAAAATAAGGGGAAATTGGTGGAACAAATGATGTTGAATTTAGGCAGAGTTTGTAAGGATTGAGGATGGTATTTGTGACATGCCTAGTCTAGCAAATCATAAGCAGTAGCTAGTGTCTTTATTCCTTTTTTTTTTTTAATCTACAATCACATTTAGGAGCAGCCCAGCCTCCTGGGTTCTGTGGAGTCTCAGGATCTGTGATGTTGAATGCAGATAGCCCTGCCTGGCAATGAATCATGGGGCTAGTAGCTGCTGACAGCTTTTCCCTCATCTCTTGTGTTCTTCTTTAACATTTGTGTTGTTATTAAACATTTCACATATGCCTTGTTCTCAAAGATGTCATAAATCCTTAAAGGCAAACCCAGTGGCCCAAGATTATTTATACCCCACCAGGGAGTCTTACCCAGCTCAAAGTACAAAGTGGTCTGCCGCACAGGACCGATCCTTCAGTTGACTAATTATTTGGCTCGAAAGGAGGTTAGTAAAGAAGAAGTCTGGGGAATGGCTGGATATTTCTATTTTTATTTTTCATGACAAGGTCTTGCTATGTAGCCCAGACTGGTCCCAATCTTGCAATCCTCTTACCTCAGTCTCCTCACTGCTGGAATTACAGGTGTGCACCATCATACTTGGCATGGCATAGGGAATGGGCTTGGAAAATAGATGGAAGGCCAGCTAAGAAAGCTAAGAGAAGATTTTGACTTTAATTCTGTGGCTGTGGGTACAAAAGTGCTTGTGAAGCAGTGAGATGAAGTCTCAGGCTGCATGGAATGGTGTTTTACTATGACCGGTTGGACAGTGGCTAGCAGTCTTGATGTGGGCAGCTGACTCCCAACACAGTTCTGCAGAGGGGACAAGGAGGTTGGTATTGTGTCCAGTGCACACCTACCATGGAGTAAGGTGTCAGGAAGTTGGTTGTATTCTGACACTTTTGCCCTTTCTTGTTTCATGAGTTTGGGATAGGAGCTTGGAATGGATAATGAAATCCTTGCCAGGTGGATCTAAAATTTATAAAAATGCAAAGTCACATTATTACAAGGTTAATAAAATGACACAAGCAGGTATGTGCAGCCAGCATTCATTCCAGGTGTCTGAAAGCTAACTGCCAATCATAATATATAAGAATTTATACTATCGTGAGATGTGTGCCACAGGGTATTATTGTGTCCTGAGAGAGACACTTCATGCATATGTCTTCATCCTCGCCAAAGCTGGCATGAAGAGGAGGAGGGTTGAGCAGAGAGCAGCCATTAGGCTTCCTCTTCTGATCAAGGAGTTACTTCCAGCTGTCTTCTTCCACTCAGGCAAATCTCAGCACTACAGGGCACAGCCAAGACTCTGGTCTGGCCAAAGACAAGCAGGGCACACATGAGGAACAGCCAAGAGAACGAACCATTGTTGGGTTCCATGAAGCAGTTGCTCAGTGCACGAATCATCTCATTTTTCTGTCCAGCAGGCCTTTTGCCCTGTTGTTCAGAGGGTGTCCTGAACATCAGCTCATTCACAGGTCCTCTTGCTTGTCCGGAAAGAGCAGAAAGGTCCATGCTCATTTAGCATCTCCTCTCAGTCAAGCCCTTGATACTTCCTCAGGGTTAAGTAATCACCCTTTGCTCTCAAGCACCAGGATGGCCTTTCCGTACTGGATAGCTCCTATGGTGAGGTGGTCACTGCAGGGAGCTGGAATCTGTCTGCTCACATCTCTACCATCCATCTCCATTCTACCTGCAAGCCCATGGGATAAACCTGTTCACTTTTGTAATGGCTGCTTGAGACAATACAGTAAAAAAAAAAAAAAAAGTCATTTGTTCTTGTCAGGATGGCTCCTTTTATAAAAAGAACTCCAGCTTCTATAGTCAAAAGCAAACTGTAACCCTGTTCAGCCTGGAGCTTTCATTTTCTTAAGCGTGTTCCCCTGTTCTGTTATCTTTGAAGCACCTTTTGGCAGATGAGGGGGTGATCCACTTGAACCAGGATAACAGTGATCCCCTTTAGTTGGAAACAGCAAGAAAGCATAGGCACTATAGTGAGTCTCAAAGGCACCTCAGGCTGACAGGGGCAGAGACAGGGGCAGGAGCAGCAGGGCAGGAGAATCCGATCTCCTCTTCCTTCTTTGGGGCTTAAATGACACAGGAGAGAATGAGAGGGCCTTAAAGGGGAGGCTGGGGCCAGCCTCCACTCTTCCTTGTTTCTTTTCCTATTCTCTCACTGATTGGAAAAACAAGGCATTTTGTCAGTTGGCTCGGGTTCCTGACAAAAGTGGCCCTGGCACAGCAGTTCCCAACTGTGGCTCATCACTGGAGTCACGGAGCATGAGGGTGGGGCACTGTTTACAAATTCTAGTGTCTGGGCCTCTTCTAGTCCCCAAAGGCCGAGAGGTAGGTAAGCTGTTTGTTCTGTTAGCTTAGGAGTTTTGAAAGGTGTCCAGATTTGCAGTGAAGATTGGGAACAACTTCTCTAGAACTAGTTAGGCCCTGAGGAGTAAGTAGCACAAAGCACCCTGGCGTCCTCCAGAATCTTCTTTTTTCTGCTTTAGTCTTATAGAAGCAGAGGCAAGGGGCTGGGAAGGTGGCTCAGTGGTAAAGCACTTGCCTTGCATGTCTGAGGCCCTGGGTTCAATTCCTCAGCACCACTATAAGCAAAAAGAAAAAAGCCGGAAGTGGCGCTGTGGCTCAAGTGGTAGAGCGCTAGCCTTGAGCTGAAGAGCTGAGGGACAGCACCCAGGCCCAGAGATCAGGCCCCATGACCAGACCAAAAAAAAAAAAAAGAAGAAGCAGAGGCAAATTTTCTTCCTTAACTATTTACTGGCCAGCACTTGTTTTTGGTGGGTAGAGTCATATCTCTTATTATTATCCATTAGAAGTCATGGTTAATTCTTTCTTGCCTAGTGAATTTACTGCGTTTATCAATACCCTATCAGTTGCCTCTTGAGTTTGATGTCCCTTTTTGGAGGGTAGGGAGAAATAAACTCAGGTATGGGCTTTGATTTCTGCTCAGTTGAATATGATAGCAGTCTTCTTGGTCTAAACATCTGCCGTTCAGCAGAATCTCAAAGCCATGCTGGCTGGAACTGTGCACATGGATTATATTGAGCCCCATGATGTCTGCTTTGATAGCTTCTGCTATTGAAACACCATTGGATCAAACTGTTAACCCCCGGAGGAAAATGGAAGCACACTTTCTTTGTATAGCTCACGCAAATTGTCCTTTGAGTGAGTGATGTAGAAACAGCAACAGGTGTTTTGGATTCCTTGGTAGACCAGAGTGTTGTTATTGAGGTTCACTAAGGGTGCCAAGCATCACTTCACTTATATGAGATCATTGGTCTAAGCTACTCAGTGGCACATGCCTTCAATCCCAGCCACTCAAAAGGCAGGAATAGGAGGATCACTATTCCAGGCTAGCATCAGGGGAGGGGAAATTTTAGCTAGATTCTACCTCAAAAAGAAGCCTTCAATGGTGGTTCCATGCCTCACATGTGGTGCCCAGCAGGAGGCAGAGGCAGGAGGATTATGGTTTGAGGCCAGCCTTGGCAAAGTTAGTTCAATGAGACACCCTATCTGAAACACAAACTAAAAGCAACAAGGAATGGGTGATGGAGCAAGAGGTAGAGGAAAAAAGATCATGAGTTAGCCTAGTACAGAGGACAATATTGTTTTCTTCAGCCCCTTCAAGACATCATAAGGCTTCTCACTGAAATTCTTTTATCGCTAGGGCCCATAACCTGTTGAGCATACTGAAAATAAAGAACTCATCTGACAGGAGACTATCTTGAAGTCTCAAGAGAAAAGACAGCATCCATCCTGGAGCCATGCAAAGCTAAACCTGGGGCTCTTGTCTCTATCCCCATATCTGCCAGCATCTTAGGCCCCTTTGGCCAGGGGAAAAATCCCTCAGCATGGTTACATAATGACATGGACTCTCCTAATGGTCACCCCTACCTTCTTTTCAGTCCAGACTACCTTCTCAGGTGTATTTTCACAACTGCCCCCTTGCTTTCTATATCCTCTCCAGAAGATCAGGTCACGAAGGGGAAAGCTGAAGGAAGGAATAAAGAGATCAGGCATCCTGTGGGATGGGCAGGGGGTTCTCTAAGGGTTGGAATGTCCCTTGTTCCATCTCCAGGTTGGATATCCTTCTTTATTTAACAAGGGACAGCCAATCTTAACTCCATAATTCCCACAATAGTCTGCCTTAAAGTCCTGCTAGGGGAAATTAATATTTCTTATTTCAAAATGTAAAGGACACATTATATGATTAAATCAAAAGAAGTGAAGGAAGAAAGGAATCCTGGAACATGAGAAGTGAGGGCATCTGGGGCATGCATTGATGTGTGGACCATTATCTTTTGTTGGCCACTATAGAGAAACCAACTGTGAGATCAGGAAACAGGGGACCTGGGATGTGACCTTCTTCTGGCAGCTGAGCTTATTCATATGCTACTAAGGCACTGGACTCTGCTTTTTTTCCCCTACTGAACAGCTTGCACTGTGTACCTTACACTGTACCCAAGCCTAGCATCTGACCTGGGTTTTGCAGGATGGGCCCACATTCACTTACGGTGTGAAGTTATATATGACGCCAGCTGTAAGGTAGGATGGTGAGAGAAGCTTAGGTCTGGCCCCAGTTCTACCTAGTACAGTTTGTGTGATCTCAGAGGAAAACTAGTCTCTCCTCTCCTTTATACAATAAAAAGCCTGCGTTACAAATACCCGTGACTCTCACCTTGGCTCCCTTTTGAATCACCCAGAGTTTTAAAAATCACCCTACCATTCTTGTCCAGGTGAGGATTTTTAAAGGCTTTTCTGGTGATTCTCATGTGAGCCAGAGTCAAGAATTCTCCCCCCTGCCCCATTTTTTGGTGTCAGTCACGGGTCTTGAACTCGATGTCTGGGCACTGTCCCTAAACTTTTGTGCTCAAGGCTAGTGCTCTACCACTTGAGCTATAGGTCCACTTCTGTGTGTGTGTGGGTGTGTGTGCATGTGTGTGTGTGTGTGTGTTTGTGTGTAACTGGAGGTAAGAGTCTCATAGACTTTTCAGCCTGGGCTGGCTTCAGACCATGATTGTCAGATCTCAGCCTCCTGAGTACTAGGATTACAGGCATGAGCCACCAGCACCAAGCTGAGAACCACTTTTAAGGTGTTCTCCATCTGTAATCAGAGAATCTGACAAGCAGGAGCTCTTTGAATTTTTCTGTGGCCCATATTTCCTGTGGCCCTGTATAAGGACTATGAAGTGCTCATTCTCGGGGAAAGCAGGTCAGTCTCTTGGTTAAGTTACAGTTTCTGGAGGGTTTGTAGACTTTGGTGGCTCTTTGGTTTCCTCTATAAATCTGGAGATGATGATGCACACACTTCACTGGATGCTACATTCATTAATTCATGCTTGTAAAGTGCTTAAAATGATACTGGACACACAGCAAGTTATGGGGGGGGGCAACTGGATGGGAAGGGGTACTTGGAGGGGTATGTTCAGGTATGTTGTTGAGATGAAGCTGAGACTGGTAAGCTAATGGGCTTGGTTAAGTCTCAGGACCTCCATCTTGGCAGGACATGCCTAGGGGCACGAGATCCATACTGCGGCTGGGATGGGAAGCAGCAGCGTTGCAGCACACTTGAGGACAGTACCAACATGAGCCTCTGGACCCAGAACATCACAGCCTGTCCTGTGAGAAACCCTTCATGTCCCTTTCCTCTTCAGCCCTTCCCTTCAATCCTAGCATAATTCCCCAAGTCCCCCTCTAGGTCTCTTTCTACCCCTGTCCCTGCCCCATATGACAGAGGCCTTTCCCTGTATGTGGGCCTGCAGGTTCGGAATGTGACCCAGGATGGAGGCTTTGGCCCATGGTCCTCATGGCAACCATGTGAGCACTTAGATGGAGACAATTCAGGCTCTTGTCTATGCCGAGCCCGATCCTGTGACTCTCCCCGGCCCCGCTGTGGGGGCCTGGAGTGCCTGGGGCCAGCCATCCACATCGCCAACTGCTCCAGGTAGGTGAGGACAGGGCTTGGATGGGTGTGTTTCTGGGGTGTAGAGGGAGAATTGGAGAAATAGGGCAGCCCCACCCAGGTGTTTAAATTGAGGAATAGAAAACTGCCCCTGGGAAGTGCTGGGGACTAGACAAGTGACTGATGTCTAAGGCAGGAAACATGTACCCTAGGAGACTTTTCACACAAGGGGGAGAGAACTTTCTGCCTCACAGGCCATTGATGCAATGCACTGATGCAAAGAAGAAAGGTTAAGCAGGCATGGTAATCACTTCCAATGACCAGCTACAATCAGCCTGGTTGTCCAGACTTGAGATTCCGCATGGGATGGTGGCAGTCCTCTATTACACAGCCTATAAGCATGACCTTGGCCAGCACCTACCCATTCTGCATTTCTCTAAGTGTGGATTATAATACCCACCAGAGAGTGATTGAAATGAAAGGAGATAGGTGTGCAGAGTGCTTGCATACTGCTCAATGGTCAGAGCAACCAACCCATACTTTTAAAGCATCTTTGATGTCATATATGTTCCCTAATGTAACCCTCACAACCACCTCAAGGGGTAGGAATGCAGTCATTTGTCTTAAAGATAAGTATTCTAGTAAGTTATAGAGCCCAATTCTGATCCCTTGAGACAAAGTGGACAAGAGAGAGTAGCATTTGCTCGTGCCAGTTCAATGTTGCATGTTAAGTACTGGCTAACAAAAAAGAGGGAAAAGACAGGTGGCAAGTTGGCAAGGTGCCCAGACCCTCCTCTTCTAAAGAGTGTATTCTTTGCCCTGGACACAGCCTGATGTATGGAAGAGGCTCTCAGTACAGATTCGAGGCATGAATGAACAAACGGATGAATCCCAAGTATGGTTGAGATGATGACCTGGTTAGGAGCTGCTCTTTTCTGTCACAATCTGCTCCTTCCTGAAAACAATCCAAAAAGCCATCTGCCCAGATGCAGACCAGATCTAAGGAGCTAGGGCTCAGAGGGACATCTGTGTCTCCGTCCCCTCCCACCCCACCAGGAATGGGGCGTGGACCTCGTGGTCATCGTGGGCACAGTGCAGTACATCCTGTGGGATTGGCTTCCAGGTCCGCCAGCGAAGCTGCAGTAACCCTGTGCCCCGCCACGGGGGCCGCATCTGCGTGGGCAAGAGCAGGGAGGAGCGGTGAGCTAGCGGGTGGCTGTGCGTGCGTGCGTGTGTGTGTGTGTGTGTGTGTGTGTGTGTGGTATGGTGGGGGAGGGGTCCCAGACTTCCAGAACCTCCTCGAAGTGAATTCTCAGGGTGACCCAGGGGACTTGTCCTTGCTGGACCAGCTGACCCTGTGACCCCCCCTTCCCCCCCAGACAGGGATCTACCCCTCCCTAGAGTGACGCTCCTGCCCTCCCCCCCCCAGGTTCTGCAATGAGAACACGCCTTGCCCGGTGCCCATCTTCTGGGCCACGTGGGGTTCCTGGAGCAAGTGCAGCAGCAACTGTGGGGGTGGCGTGCAATCGCGGCGTCGGGCGTGTGAGAATGGCAACTCGTGCCCGGGCTGCGGCGTGGTGAGGGTCCCGGGAGGGGGGAGTGCGGCCGTGGGGGTGGGGGAGTGTGGAGACCCCCCACCGCGGGCAGGGGCCTGCCTGCAGGCCCTGGGGCTCTGACACCCCCCCCACACACCCCCCCAAGGAGTTCAAGACGTGCAACCCCGAGGGCTGCCCCGAGGTGCGGCGCAACACGCCCTGGACCCCGTGGCTGCCGGTGAACGTGACGCGGGGCGGCGCGCGGCAGGAGCAGCGCTTCCGCTTCACCTGCCGCGCGCCCCTGCCCGACCCCCACGGCCTGCAGTTTGGAAAGAGGAGGACTGAGACCCGAACCTGCCCGCCCGATGGCTCCGGAGCCTGCGACACCGATGGTAGCGCGCAGGACCCTCCCTCCCTGACTGCCTGCGCTGCGGGCCTGGGGGCGCGGGTGGGAAGCGAGGGAGGGGGTGAGGGGTGGCGCGGGATCCCCAGGGCGGGCTGGGCCTCCTGGGACCCCCCCCCATCGCTGAGCTCCACGGTCCCCGCCGACCTCCCCAGGCCTGGTGGAGGATCTCCTGCGCAGCGGGAACACCTCCCCGCACACGCTGAGCGGAGGCTGGGCCGCCTGGGGTCCCTGGTCGGCCTGCTCCCGGGACTGCGAACTGGGCTTCCGCGTCCGCAAGAGAACGTGCACCAACCCCGAGCCCCGAAACGGGGGTTTGCCCTGCGTGGGCGACGCTGCTGACTACCAGGACTGCAACCCCCAGGCCTGCCCAGGTAACCCTGTGCCCCGGGGGCGCACAGGCCTGGCCCCAGGACCTCCCCTCCCTGCCTGCACTGCCTTGAGAGCCTCCATCCTCAAATCTCAGCCTCCCCAGTAGTCAGGATTACAGGCGTGAGCCACCAGAGCCTGGCTGGCCAGAGCAAGTTCCTTACCCTGACCGTGGAGGACGTGGCTACTCTGGTGGCCATTTCTTAAGCCTGCCTCACTGTTTTCTCTCCCCTAGTGGGTTAAAGAAAGAACTTGGTTTCTCAGTTCCTCTCCCTCCTGGTCTCAGCTGCTGCCTGTATTTCCCTGGCTTCCCCTGGGGACCCTCCCTTCGTGTGGTCTGTTGAGTGGAGATGGGGTCCCTCCTCATGGCATCCACTTGCAGTGCGGGGTGCTTGGTCCTGCTGGACCGCGTGGTCCCAGTGCTCAGCCTCCTGCGGTGGGGGCCACTATCAACGCACACGTTCCTGCACCAGCCCGGCGCCCTCCCCAGGTGAGGACATCTGTCTGGGGCTGCACACGGAGGAAGCATTATGTGCCACACAGGCCTGCCCAGGTACTGAGTGCATCCATTAGGGCCGGGAAGCATCGTGGAGCCTCTGGTCCCCAGGAGAGAGCCTGAGGCACTCCACCTCATTCCACCTCCCACCCACAGAAGGCTGGTCACCGTGGTCTGAGTGGGGTGTCTGCACTGAGGATGGAACCCAAAGCCGGAGCCGGCACTGTGAAGAGCTGGTCCCAGGACCCGGGGCCTGTGCTGGCAACAGCAGCCAGAGCCGCCCCTGCCCATACAGTGAGATCCCTGGTAGGCTCTTATGTTAGTAGCTGCTCACCAGCGTGCTCTGCCTTTAGTATCCTTCCCTTCTGGAAACTTGTGTCCCTGGGGCTAGGGTCCTAGTGCAGAATGACGGACAAACGCCACACCTTTACCCCTGGCACACACTTAAGGGCTTTGGGGCCCTACCTCATGAAAGGGCTGTTCTTCATGGAGGAAGGGCCCCTCATAAAAGAGGGTCTGCCAGTAGACATAGGAGAGGAAAGGCCCCAGACCACATGCAACTCCCTGCTTGACCCACAGCAGCCCAGGAGAGAGCTGTCCCCTCTCCATGCTATCCTAACACGCAATCCACTTGTCTTCCTGCAGTCATCCTGCCTGCCTCCAGCATGGAAGAGGCCACCAGCTGTGCAGGTAAAAAGAGCCACTCCTGAGACTGTCCTTCTACCGTTTCTCCACCCCACTCCCATGTCCGGATTCTTCTCACTTCCGCTTCAGGCAGCCAAACCTTGGTGGGTGGGAGGTAGGGGTCTTCACCTGCTTTGGGCTGTGTGCAGGGAGATCTGGCAATTCTATCCGGGTCCTCCAGCTGAGCCATCAGCAGTCTGTACCTAAGATTGCTACCTCTGACTCAAGCCACAGGCTGTCCTGTGAGAGTGGCCTTAGTGACAGACTGCCTGCCTTCCCTGTTTCTTTTGGCTGGCCCAAAGCCCTGTCTTTTCTTCATGTCCCAGACTCTCCTCTTGCTGTCTGTGTTCCCAAGGAGGTAGTCGGGAACCTACCTTCTTCACAGTGGCTCTTTGTTACCAGACATCTGTTGTCTTGCAGGGTTCAATCTTATCCACCTGGTGGCCACAGGCGTCTCCTGCTTCCTCGGCTCCGGACTCCTGACCTTGGCAGTGTACCTGTCTTGCCATCACTGCCAGCGCCAGTCCCAGGAGTCCACCGTTGTCCATCCTGCCACCCCCAACCACCTGCACTATAAGGGCGGAGGCACCCCCAAGAATGAGAAGTACACACCCATGGAGTTCAAGGTGGGAATCCTCTTACGTTAGCACAGAGCAGGGTGAAGAGTCGTGGCATAATGGAACGGCATCTGGAATGTTCCTTCACAAGCTGGCTAGGCTTAACCCCTTTCCTATCTCTCCCTTCATTCTTTTCTCTCTGGTTTCTTCTTCCTCATACAGACCCTGAATAAGAATAACCTGATTCCTGATGACAGAGCCAACTTCTACCCACTGCAGCAGACCAATGTATACACGACTACCTACTACCCCAGCCCGCTGAACAAGCCCAGCTTTCGGTCCGAGGCCTCACCTGGACAGCGGTGCTTTCCCAACAGCTGATCCCGCCGTCCTGGGACTTGGGCTCCTTGCCTTTCCAGGGCACAGAGCAGTGGAGATCGGACAGTGGAGTCACTTTGGTTTTCTCCCTCTGTACTGGGCCAAAAGCTTGTTGCCTGGCCTGTGGAGATCCCATCAGCGTCAGAGAGCTCTGGCTGTTGGTGACCATGGGGGAGAGGACTGACTTCAGGCTGGCCTATGGCTGTGGACCCAGCTCAGCCCAGGTCTCTCATGGCCTCGTTGTGACCCACCATCAGGCTCACCCTCCCCTGCCACATCTGAGCTGTGGACTTTCTGGGCCTGTGAAGAATTGGAGAATAGAGTTGACAGGAGGGCAGCCTCTTCGATTGAGGTTGGAAATGACTTCCAGGGGCATCATCAGCCAAATCCCCCCCCTTCTCTGGCTGACCCCAAGAAAGGCCTGAGATGGATCCAGCTGGTCTCTGATGGAACTAACTAAACGGCTCAGTAACTCTGGACCTCTGCCCAGGGATGGACCATTGTGGTGCTGAGCCATGTGGCGTAGGGGACCAATGCGGGTCCAGACTGTCCACCTCTTCCTAGTAATCTGTATGTCACCCAAGGATTTTCCTCTGGTCAGAGGAAGTGAGTATTGGGAACTGGAGATAAGACTCATCTTTGCCAAGAAGCCCTTTAATCTGACCTGGAACAAACATTAGCCTCATGCTGCAAATGCTTGAAAGGTAACCCAGGAAGGCTAAGACCATAGGAGGCAGAGTCTGGCCTCCATTTCTCAATGGAGACTCTATTCCAGTTGCTGCTCACCAGAGTTGTTGGCTGAGACCTGCCTGGGAGTTTTTGCTGGCCCCTCATCTATTCAGGAAGACACAAACACACACACACACACACACACACATACACACACACACACACACACACACACACACACACACACCATCTGCTGCAGCAACAGAAAGGATGTTAAGCTGTGGCATTATTAATTAAAGATGATATCGAGTCTCCGAATGTAACTGTCTTGGTGCATATGTGTGTGGGCCCCTCTTGGCACAATGTAGTCCATCTGAGCAATACCCTAGGGTAACAGATGGTTTCTCAAGGTGGAGGAAATGATCCAAGTTGAGTCTGACTTTAATAGAGGATTTCATCCCATGTGTGGGTTTATATGCATGTATACACATTTTGCCCTAGTCCCTTTTCAGAAAAGTTGGGGATAAACAGATTTGTAAGTGGAGACCCAAGGTATACCAACAGCAACACAACAGGAGAGATCTGTACCTGTTTGCAGAGCAGTGGGTCTTGGCAACAACTTTAGGGTGAAGACGGAAGAATGTAGCAGAAGAGTATTGATGAGAGTAATTTATGAGATATTTTGGATGCTGTTTAATAAAACCCAGATTGAAAAATGAGTGAACGTGTGAGGTGGGGGAGGCCTAATGTGGTTTCTGCTGAATTAAATAAAAATAACCTCAAAGCTTCAGCCCATGAAATCAATGCTGCCGTTTTAGACAAGATTGATGGACATGTTAAACTGAGATAGCAATTTCCTAATATAATTGGGCGGATCAATTTTTGTAAGATTCCCAGCAGAGTTTAATTGTAGTTAGGCTATAAGGCCTGTATGATCTGAGTGGTGGAGGAAGAAGAGGATCTTGCGGAGTGGAAGAAGTACTTGAAATCTGAAGATGCCTGGAAGGGAGGAGGAGAAGGAGGAACAGAACCGGCCTGGAATCTTGGCGCTTGAGACAACTAAAACGTCAGTGTTGCTAGGCCAAGGTAGAGTCCAATCAGAGCTCAAATGTGAATATTTGTAGTCTGGGATTCTTGATTGGTTCCCATCAGCTCCACAAGTCTAGAGCTCATGGAGGCCAGTGAGGCGTTTTAAATCCTGGAGTCTCAGATTCCCTTGAGCCTCATGGAGCCAATGAAGTTCAAGATTGTTCCAGGACTCACAGGGTGTCTGCCTCAACCTCTTGAAGGTCATTGGTTATGTCTAAGTGGAAGGAGTGGACAGGTCTAAGGCAAGTGGTCGTGGGGAATCCCAGGTAATGGTATCACCAGAAATGAAATCCTTGGTTTCTCAACACCTCCCCCCGACACTTCTCTTTTTATAAAAAAAAAGAGGTACAACATTCAGAATGCACAGAAGGTGCCACACTGCACACACAGGAGCAGGCGTGGGAAGGACTGTTTGTTGACTAGCTCTAGCCCAGAGCTGAGGACCCTAAAACTGCTCCATTGACAAGGAGGGTATGGTGCGTCAGTGAGTATGCTTGGAAAGGGAGGAGGCTTCCTCCGTGCAGATGGCTTAGTGAGGGTAGACAACATGTGGGCATGGAAGCTCCAGGTCTTCTTGGACTCTTTTGTACTTAAATAATGTGTGTAGGGATGTGTGGGAGTGTGTGTGCCTGTGTGTACCAGTACTGAGGCTTGAACTCAAGGCCTACGCATTGTTCTTCAGTTTTTTTCACTTAGAGCTGGTGCTCTACCACTTGAACCACAGCTCTACTTCCAGTTTTTTTTGCTGGTTGATTTGACTTTAGAGTCTCGTGAATTTTTCCTGCCAGGGTTGGCTTTAAACTACAGTCCTCAGCCCTCAGCCTCCTGAGTAGCTAAGATTAAAGGCATAAGCCACTGGCTCCTGGCTGTGCTTTCTTATTTTTTTAAAATTATACATATTCATTGCAAAGAATTTAGAAGATAGAGGAAGTCAAATATCTTACAGTCTTACTCTGCATTATAATATTACCATGATTATAAGGCAGAGACCAGGATGCAGGGTGAAGATATTTCTTCTGCTTTATCTCAAAATCACCCCCAAAGCAAAGGGAATAGAAAACAAAAGCTCTGTCACTGTTTTCAATAAAACCAGGATGTAGCTATAATCCCAAGTCATAGCGCCACTGTGCCTCAGTATTCTTGAGGAATTGGTTCTAGGACCCATTTCCCACCCCACCTTGTGAATTCCACAGGCTGGATTTTAAAGTCCCTTATATAAAATGAAGGGGGTTTTTTTTTTTTTGCATGTAAGTTAGGCATATCCTCTTGTTTGCTTTAAACAATCTCTAGATAACGTAAAATACTTCATGCATTGTGGATGCTTTGGGAATAGTGTTGTTGTTCTACATTGTTAAGGGAATAATGACAAGGGAAAAAGTCTCTACATGTCAGGAGAGATATAATTTTCCCTAAAATATTCTCCATCCTTGGTTGGTTGGGTCTGTAGATGTGCAGCCTACAGACAGAACCACTTGTTCTTGAAGACATAAAGAGATGAAATAACAACAGTCCTGTGGTGGATGGATATGGGTTAAACCTCCTGTACAAAAAGATTTCACAAAGAATCAGAAATTGGAGAAACCAGATGTGCAAAAGTTGGGGACTAGAAAACCTAGGTGTAAGTTTCAGCTAACCCTTTTGGGGTTTGTTGCATGATTTATCTAGATGTTTTCTTTTTTATGTGAAATAAAGCACAGACACAGAGATCTAGGCACCTAGGAGAGCACCTGGACTACTACCTGCCAATTTTAGGTTTCTTGTAGTTGCTGGATTCACAGGTGGACAGCCAGGTTTTTTTTTGTAGTTGTTGTTTTGTTTTTTGTGGAGATGGAGTCTCGAGTACTCTTCAGCCCTGGTTGGTCTGGAACTGTGATTTTCCCAATTTCAGCCTCTATGTAGTTTGGGATGACAGAGGCACACCAGTATACCTAGCTGTGAGTTGAGAAAGGGGTCCTGTGAACTTTTCTGCCCAGGCTTGGCCTTGAACCGCGATTGACCCAAACTCAGCCTCCAAAGCAGCTAGGTTTACCTACAAGTATGAACTTCTGGTACCTGGCTTGAGTCTCTTATGTTTAAAATTTATTTTATTGATATGTACAAAGTGTGTATATTATGGAGTGCCATGTGGTTTTTTATACATGTGCACATATAATGTTCAAGTCCTGGTAAACATTACAATCTTTTCAAATGTTTATCATTTCTTTATGGTGACTGTAAATCCTTTCTGTTGGTATATATATATGACATTGTCATTATATGAATCTCCCATTTTTGATTCCTAACCTCAAGTCTCCATTCCTTGGGGCAGCTGGGGGTAGATAAGGGAATATATGCCTACAGCTCTGTATGTCAAGTTGCTTCTCCATGTATGATGTATCTTACTGACTATCATAGCTTAGCCTACTTACCTTAAGCATGCAGGCAACACTATTAGCACAAAGCTTTGTTTCTAATGAAGCACTGAGAATCTCATGTGAATGGATGTCTGGAGCTGTGGCTTGGTATCACTGCCTGTATTTTGAGAGTCTCATACTGCTTATCATTAGCCAGGGAAAAGAATCAAAATCCAAAGTATGTTTTCTACTGAATCTATATTGCTTAATACTACTGTAATATTAAAACACTGTCAGTTAAACCATGATATATCATGGGACCATCTGTGTCGAGGTACACATATACATCGGATTCCATAGAGTTTCACTTTGGCCTTGATATTCAGCTCCAAATCTGCAAATTGATCTTCACTCTCAGCTTTTGGAAGTCCAGATAGCTGAATGCCTACCCTCAGCTTGTGCCCAATCTACAGTCACAGTTATAAAGGTTATCCTTGTATCTAATTAGCACATCAGCATTAGTTATATGAGCAAGTCATGCTACCTAGCTATAGTAATAAATGATACTCACTATAAATGTCTTGGCAAATCTTGAAATGAAAATCTTTTATGCTTCATATGTTAACATTCTACCAGTCAGTCAAACTACAGATGTATGTTTAGTACTGTAGAGAAAATGCCACAATATGATGATTATGAAGCTATCTATTTTTAATGCCAAAATCTAATTAAGGAGCTAGGTATCTGTGGCTCACAACACATAATTCTAGCCACTCAGGAGGCTGAGATCTGTGGATCAAAGTTTGAAGCCAGCCTAGGCAGGAAAGTCTGGGAGACTTTCATCTCCAATTAACTACCCCAAAGCAGGAAGTGTAGCTGTGGCTCAACTGGTAGAGTGCTAGCCTTGTGCACAAAATCTCAGAGACAGAGCCAAAGCCCTGAGTTCAAGCCATAACACTGGCACCAAGAAAAAATAAAACAACTAATTAAGCACTTTCAAATAGCAAATGAATTGGGGAAAATAATATTAAAAGAATGTTACCTAGATAACTTCAGAAAGAACACTGTAATCTTTGTGAGTCAATATGTTAAATAATTTTCAATTATCCAAGGCAGAACAATAGTGATTTGATTAAATCATAATTCTAATATTTGCCAACTGAGCTGTTGTCTATCTTACATTCATTATGTCAAGTAAGATAACTTTCAAGAATTACATTTAATTTGGGATGGTTAATTCCATTTGTGTTATGAGCCTTTCATATTTGAGAATTCATATCTTATGAAAATGAATTAAAGACAGAATATCAGCATTTCTACTTCAATATTTCATAAGTAGAAAAAAATTACA